ATCCACTGGATGTCTGTGCCCTGAGAGCATCATCCAACAACCAATCCCTCCTCTAGAGAATCTCCTGAGAGCTCAGCTTCTCACCATGGACTGGGCCGGGAGGATCGTTTTTCTGGTGGCAGCAACTACAGGTAAAGGAACACCTATTCCCTGGGATGAGAGGGGAACTCTTTTCAGTCAAAAAGAATTGTATCCACTCTTCTGTGTCCTCTCCACAGGTGCCCACTCGCAGGTGCAGCTGGTGCAGTCTGAGGCTAAGGTGAGGAAGCCTGGGCCTCAGTGAAGGTCTCCTGTAATTTTTCTGGGTTCATCATCACAAGCTACAGTACACACTGGGCACAACAGGCCCCTGGACAAGGGCTTAAGTGGATGGGATGGAACAACCCTAGCAATGGTAACAGAGTCTACACGCAGAAGTTTAAGGGCAGACTCACTATGACCAGGGACAGGTCCAAGAGCACAGCCTACACGGAGTTGAGCAGCCTGAGATCTGAGGACACGGCCGTGTATTACTCTGCACGACACACAGTGTGGAAACCCACAGCCTGAGAGAGTCTGAGGGCCTGAGGGAGGAGGCAGCTGTGCTGGGCATGAGGAGATGACAGGGATTATTTGATTGCAGACTTTCTTAGAAAGTGAGGTTAAGTCATTGAAGAAAAGGAACAAGAGAAATGTGTATGCACTCTAATTATTTGAGAAATTTTCCGTAAAATATTTACTCTGTAAGCGAAATTCAAGGAGTAGAAAACAATCAAATTAATAAAACTGATATAGGAACTGCTCTGAAGATATTAGTGTGAGCATGAGTTTTGGAATCCGTGTTGTAATTATTTTGGAACACAGCTGCAAGATCACATTTTATCTCTCCATTTACGTCCATTATATGAAATATTAAAATGTTTTAATGTTTTCCATAGTTTGAAGTTATGATTTGGGGCTCATGCCAGCAATGCATGATAGATCTCGGTTCTTCCTCATTCTGATTGCCATTTGGCGCTATGAATATTGTGTATTTTAACCATTCTACTAGATTATTAGTGGTATCCCATTTTTGTTTAAATGCATGTCTCTAATTAAAATTTTATATTTAATTATTTTTATATAATTATGATGAAGTTTCTATTTTGATATTCTGCTCTTTTTTAATTTAACTGTTTTCTTCTAATCCGTTGTATATTTCCTTACATACCCAATATAAAATTCATTTACAAAGTTAACATAAAGCCATTTGACAAATATGTGATTTAGAAGTGTATTCTCCAAGTCTGTAGTTGTCTTTTCACTGCTTTGTCAGTGTCTGTGGCAGAAAAATGTTCATATACACACATATATATATGTATATACACAGTTAGGTGTGTGTGTGTATGTGTGTATAAACTTGGATAAAATAATTTTAATTTTCCATAGATTATACTTCTAGTATTATTCTAAAACTAATTACAAAATCAACTCTAACAGAGAAACTTGTGTCTCTAATCTCTGGCCACAATCACAGCATAATTCTTTAAATTTCACCACTTTATGGGAGGATTATTAACTTAAGATGTTTGAAATTCTTCTGCATGAAAAATGTCTTTTTTTCAACTTTTTAAAAGTTTAATTATCTGTTAATAACAGT